TTAGCCCTCCACCTCACCGAAGCACACAAGCCTCCCCGCCCGCACGGACAGTGCTACTTCAAGGCGGTCTCCTGGACTTACCCATGTCCTTTTATTTTCCCATTTCTTTTTAAAGTATGTTTGTTATTTGTAGATTTGGACTTTGTGCGAATTTTATTAGCTTTTGACCTCTTGAATTTCTATTACCATTGCCATACCCTAAACAGTTTGTATCTTTTTTCCATGCGACCAACTTTGCTATTAAAGTCACTCAAAACAAAATTCACTTTTGAGTTGTAGCTCTTAAGAACAATGTCGATTTCTTCATAAAATTTATTTTGTACTGTCAGAGTTTGGAGCATAAGTTCGCAATACTGGAATGGTTGTTCCTTGAATATCACGTTTAGCAACAATCACTCTATCTGAAATACCTTTTATTTCGATGTCAGTTTTAGTTTCGGTGAGAAAATGAAACCAACTCCATTTTTACCTCTTTTTCCTCTGTTATAACTAAACAGTTTGCAATCTTCGAGTTCTATTATTTCATTACCTTTTCTTATTTCACATAAACCAAGTACATCTACATTGAAATCTTTTATTGCTTGAATGAGTTATATTCTTCTCTCACTTAGCAATGTTCTGACAATACGTGTTGCCATATATATGTTTGTTCCTTCATTGTTCTTTGTATTATGTGTATTGTTGATGCTTTTTATCAATGAACGTATTCTTAATTTTTTTTTTTTTGTTTTTGATAACAGATCTTTACTATTTTTCTCTTTGTTTTGCTACTTGCCAGATTGCACCTTCGATCTCTCTTTCCTTTCTTGTGATCTCATTTTCTACATAGGTATTCCTTTTAATTTATTCTTGTTCTTCATAATTGACATTTTGTCTAAAAATATGTTCATCTGATCTCTGGCTATTATTCTTCCTGTTTTATCTTCTCCCATAAAGAATGCATCAACAAAGTTTATAATCAGAACTATATTTTTTTCAGAATGTTCTTTGTTATTTCTTGTATGTGGTTGGGTTCTCTTGTGAATTCTTTTGATTTTATCACAATGTTATTTCTTTTCTCCTTTTTTATTCTTCTTTCTTCCTCTTGTTCTAGTCTTTGTAACTTGTGCTGAATATCTTGGCTTATTTTTTCGTTTTTTGTCTACAGTTTTTATATTTTGTTCCTATATTCTTTCTATTTGATTTTGTCTTATTGACAATTTCTTTTTTTAATTCTGCAATCTCTTTTTTGGTTTCTATATAGCTCATTGTTTTGTCTTATATTTTTAATTACACTCGGTAGCTCTCGTTTCAAATGTAATAAATCATTCTTTGCGGCTGACGTTTTTTCTTTTCTTATTTCTTTCAATTGTAGTATTTTGTGCATGAGTGACTCTTCTTCTAATGGTTAAGTTTTCTTTTGCGGCATGATGTAATTTCTAGCACTGTGTATCTTTTTCCGTAATACTGGTAATGCTCTGCGAGTGACAGAGGGTGCGTTGTTGGGTTAATATTCTCTTTCGCTTACAGATAGCATACGTGTGTTTTTGTGTGAATTTGCTTTCATTTTGACTGTTGATTGTATTGAAAAATTGTATTTGTGAAAGGTAATAAAATGACATTTCTGAGTTTTGGAAGGATATGTCCACATTCTATAAATAAAACACACAGTAATAATAGATGTGCATATTCTTACCAATGAAGAACAAACTAAAACAAGGTAGCCTGCTACAGTAAAACACATGTACTGTCTCCAAATTTGCATGACTGTAGAATATCAAATGTACAGAAATATAAATATATTGAACTACATACAACTCAAAGCTCATGGAGAATTATTTTATGATTATCAACCAGCAGTAAAATTTCTTACAGATCATTACAACAATGCAGTTCCTTAGTTCACTACTCAACAATTCTTCAAAACAACAATACACTTGATGGTTATAAAACAGGATAACAAGATGATTATTAAAAATTATGATCATCTCAATACCCCTAAACATTGCTTTTTATATAAAAAAGTATCTCGCAAAATCTGCATAAATCACTTACATTCACAAAAGAAAACGAACGAATTCACACGCACACCATGTAAAGTCTTCAAATATACGGATTCACAAACACTGACATTTCAAAACTAGGAGAAATACTTTGTTGCAGAAGTAAACATACATGCACATCATTTCACTTCAATAGATGAAGTCATGGTTCAACAATACTTACAAATGTATAAAGGTTTAAACTACAACATTCAGATGTTTGCTTCTCATTGATTAACATAAATTACATTTTACACAATGTCCGCATTCCACAGTACATAATGATTCATGCTGTCCACAAGTCAAGTATCAAAACATCACTCTGGTACAAACTCCATCACTACTGTTCTCACAACTTGATTTAATTCATCACAAGCATAATCTTCTGGCAGAGGCAACTGATTTATAACATGAGCTAACACCCGTGCAGATACTTTATTTTCTCCTCTTTGTAACTGTAGTACATTGCGAATTAAATGTGCAGTTCGAAGTGCAATTTCCGACTGGCATAATCTGTGGAAGAAAGAAAACAGAAAAAACATTAAAAAATCAAACTAAACCAACTATAATAAAAATTATCTGAATACATTGTCTCAGCATCCAGCTTTGAAACTAGTTTAGAATTGAACGACTACTGATAGGCAAAAACTCAGAGGGTCATAGCTGGCAATACTGAATGTTTTGAATTAATGTGGTTTTCACTGAATCAGAATTAACCATGGTAGGTGTGCAGAATATGAAGTCAGATGTTGATGCCAGATCCTGTTATTGCACAGTACTGAAGCGAATTTTTACTTACATACGATTTGAATGTGTATTGGGTGCACACAAAGGGGATAAAAAAAGATTTCTACAATCCAACACCTTTGCTCGAGGAATAGTTGGACAACCTTCTACCATGTAGGAGTTATATTACTATTTTTTGGGTGTTGTGGTACTATGAAACTACAATTCTTTGAATCTGTATAAATAGTATATTTAAAAAACTAATATATGCCTGTTTGTCCTTTATTCATTACGGCACCATTCATCTGATCGCCATGAAACTTGGGGAGTTGCTGCAAACAAGCCTAGCATGTAAGTATTTTAAATTTCAGACCTCATTAGGAGAGGGAGGGGAGGGGGGAGGAGAGAAGGACAAAAATGGAATTAAAATATATATTTCATATTTCCTTCATATCTCAATAAAAAAAGTGTTAAAGGTTCTGACTTCAAGATATTACCAACATGAACATCAAAATACAAATTGCAGGGGATATTTTTTATATTTCCCTCAATATCTCAATGCAAGAAACAAATTTCTGGAATTTTTAAAGTATCGATTCCCCAGGGGAGAAAATGAGAATAAAACATTTTTACTTCCTTCTTCTTTTAAAAATAAATATAATAATAAAAAGTTTCTAACTTCAAGATAGTATAAACTCAGAGTGTACTTTAAAAGAATTGGCACGGGCAATGCCGGCAGTTAAAATATTATTATCCATTTCAAGATAATTGAAAAGGAAGTTAATTCCCATGTAATTACTATGTATTTACTTCCCATGTAATATAAAATTCTGCTTGATGTAAAATTTCCTGTGGTCAATTTGTATTCTAAATAGAAACGATAACAATTTTTTCTTAATGAACATTTTTCACCACATTAAAAGAAATTACCTAACTAATTGATATATTTAAATTACAGTGTTTTCTGAAATTGTAAAAGCAATGAATATCCACACATGTAATATTTAATTTTTCTATTTATTTTTTATTATTAATATTTTTTCAGTGAATTTGCGATCATATTAAACGAGAATGTGGAAAATTGTATTCATTGTGAATATGCCAATAGAATAAAATGTTCACCTTAAAATGTTTTATAAAAGAAAATGAATAAGTTTTAATAAAAAATGACAATGTTAAACTGAATGTTATCATAATGAGTTTCCTTGTATTTCGTTTCTTCTGAGATCGCAGCAACACGCAATGGTAACCTAGTGCTAAATAAATAAGTTATCTGCATAAACACACATTCTATTTATTAACTTTTGAATAGGAATAATAATAATAATAATAATTATAATAATAATAATTATAATAATAATAATAATAATATCGACAAACAATCCCGTCAATAGAATCTGTAATTACTTGACCGATCTGAGCGTTGATATGTGTTATAACGATCTGAGCGGTGACACTTCGATATGTGAGCTTACCAATTTTCTTAAAACATTAGTTTTACAGTGTTTTTGAAAGAAATATTATTTGATATTCAGTTTATGTTACTTTATTTTTTATTCGGACAATAGCCCACATACCCAATAATAATAATAATAATAATAATAATAATAATAATAATAATAATAATAATAATAATAATAATGAGGGTTGTCGATTCAGATAGGGACGATCTCTTGAGGTTATCGGTTGATCGAGATGGCGTTGGTGTTGTCAGAAAGATTGTTGATGGAGATAGGTGATTACGAGTGGGCAGTGAAGACAAATTTGTTCACGCAGAATATGCAAAGTTACGAAGTTATTACGAATTACTAAAGTTACAGATACAGTTTATTTACATCTATTGAAGGCAATTGTTTGTTTCTATTTCTTCCCACAAATTTGGAGGCTCAGCCGGGATTGAACTTCAATTGAACGGGATTTTGACGAATAACAAGAATATCCTTGGATTGAACGGGATTTCGACGAACGACCAGAACTTGCTGTGGCCACCATTTAGGAACATTGAAAAATTACAACGAGCCGTTCGACGATCAATTTGAAAGGGAATTCAAATTGAAGGCTAATTTTCAACATTGTTACGACGACGAGCTCAAGTAAGGAGACAATTGAAAAACCCGAAGGATTGAGAAGATACGAGAGAAGATGCAAGTAATGAGACTGCGCGAGCACATTTTAGTGTAAGTGCGATCATAAATTTATGCACACGTTTTCATACGTTACCGACTTAAATTGAGATATACGAGATAAGCTATCGACTGTCCGATTAGAAGTTTCGATAAATTCTCGAAAGATGACACTGGGAGAAATAGAACGAATTAACAAAAATATAACATCTGCTCCAGTAAAAGCAGTTAAATTATTGTGCAGTTTAATTTTGAAACTGTGCCACATGATAGAAGAAATAGACTCTTATTAAAACATTTTTAAAGGACTGGCAGAAAAGAGATAAACACTTTAAAATCTCCAAATTTGAGCCAAATAATTGGCATAATCCTCTTCTCTCAGATAATGCTCTGAATGTCAGATTTTCGTAAGAAGCTAAAATGCTTGCAGAGATAATATTCATTTCCAAGTACCTGTGCTAGAGAGGTAGCAAGGTGCAGCCTTTGCCGGCTATCTCTTACCTTAGAACAGTGCGGGAGAACATGCTCAACGGTAAGATTCGTATCGCTGGGGGCTGGGTCACCGCGGAGATATCCGTGGGAGAAATGACAGTGACCAATCCGAAGGGGTGTCAGAATTATCTCCTCGCGTCTTGACCCACGATCTCGTGGGTCAAGACGCGAGGAGATAATTCTGACATGACCAAGGCTTTACGGATTCCTTGATTCTCGTGAGTTTTAAGTCTGAGTTCTGCCACTCTGTCATGAGCTGAGAATACGTTTGATAAACAACTTGGTGTCGTTTGTTGGGACTGTGAGGATGTCTACCTCAGTTTTCTTTGTGGTGAGCTTTGCTGCCTGGTCAGCAATTTCGTTCCCCATTATCTCAACGTGACCTGGGATCCAACAAAATACCAAATTATAACGACGAACCAGTAAATTATGGATTTGGTGTTGGATGATTATTGCCAGGGGGTCACAAGAAGAGAAGCAGGAGATAGATTTCAGCGAGATTTTTGAATCACTGCAGATCACAGCTTCTTTAAATGTCATCGATTCAGCGAACTTAAGTGCCTCCAAGAGCGCATATTTTTCTGCAGTATAAGCACTGCAAAAGAGATTAGTCGAAGACTCATGGCACTGTGGCAATAGAATTCACACCATACATTACCATTCTGGAAGGAACCATCAGTGTATATGAAGGTATAGCCGGGATACACGGATTTCATCTCCTGAAATTTTGCCAGAAATGTACTGTGGGGAGTTGAGGATTTGGGGAAATGTGATAATCTCAGGCCTATTTTAGGCCGGAGAAGCTTCTAAGGGGGAACAAGATTTCGGGGAGGGGGGGGTCACAGGGATGGGGTTTTATATACAGTTTCAGCATGAAAGAAGCGGAGATCTGAGTGGCAAGGGAGACTAAGTGGTCCATGGTTGAACGCTACTTCCTGAAATCGCACTGAAAAGGTGTAAATAGATTTCATTGCTTCAGGAGCCAGACCAGACGTTCGTTTACTATTCGTACTAAAAGCTTAACTTAAAGGGATTGCTGTTCTTTCCTTCTTTAGGGATCGGAATAACAATGGCTTCACGCCAAATTCTTGGTAAAGAATGTTTATCCCAAATCAAATTGAAAATGCGGAGAAAAGAACGAGCTTTTTTTCGTTCGGTATTTAAGCATTTGATTATGTATGTGGTCTGGTCCTGAAGAAGAATCTTTTGCACAAGCAATGGCACAGGAAAATTCATCCATGGAGATAGGAGTGTTGTAGTCTCCCTCCACGCGACTCGAGAAAACTAGTCTGCAGTTCTTCATTCTGCTTTTGGTCTCCAAAAGCTAGGAGTAGTGTACGGAACTGGAGATATACTCGTAGTGAAAGGCCAGTTCTTCAAATACTTCTTGTGAGGCGATATCCATTTATAGGATTTCCATTTCTCAGAAGCCCTGAGACAGGCGAAGGAAGTCTTCCACCGAACTGTTGAACTTTTCGCCACACTATTTTAGGGGGATGTTAAGCAAGAGTGTGATGAAATGTAGGTTCTCCAACACGCTTTTACTTTCTCTTATGATCAATCTAGCTCTGGCTCAATCTTTAAGAATTGATCAGAATATCCATGGTTGGGAACCTACTAAGCTTTACCAAAGCCTTTTCCGACCCCGCGTTGGCACAGTCGGCATTCCACCACGGCATGGGAGAATGTCGTGGGTGACCCGACGACTTTGGCAGATGGCAATTGAGGCCAAATGAAGAACGGCATCAGTAAAATGAGTAACCGCTCGGTGGATTAGCCAGCGAGGGGGACGGGCAACGTTTGGGCCGGGAATATCGAAATTGACCAGAATGGGGAAGATGTCACTACCACGCAGGTCGCCAAGGACAGTCCACTCAATCATGGAGAAGCAGACTAGAAAAGCAGATCGAGAAAGTATTTGAAGCCAAGAAAAAATGTGTGTTTTCGCCAGTATTCAGAAGAAGTATGTTCTGGTAGTTAATATTTTCAATTATATTGCTTCTCGATCAGGTCCTAGAGCCACCCCAGGCGGGAGCATTAAAGTTCCCCACAATAAGGGACAGGCAACTAAGATATATCTTCTATTTCCTCTTGCGACACAACTTGGTCAGGCAGGATAAGACGTTGCAAATAGTTATTGATATTGTGCGGAAGTTCACACGAACGCAAGAT